GCCCAAGAAACCTCCCTTGTACATGTACTTGGCAAGAGGCTTTGGGTGCAGGTGGGCATGTCCCTGACAGTACAGACAAAGGTGGGTGATCGTGTTACCAAGGAGCCTTTGGTGCATCCCTGCTCCCTGCCACTCATCGCCTGGGCACCTTGCCCAATAGGGATGTACCAGAAGCCCTTGCCACGCCTCCATGCCAATGAAACTGCCTATCTGGCAGAGCCCCCATTAGGAGGACACTCAATGCATCTTGGGAGGGATCCCCTGTCATGGCACCTACCCGCCTCCTCCTTGGCACCATCCCCAGCAATGCGATCCCACCCCATTCTTCTTGTCAAGGGGACCAGTCTCTGCCAGCTGTATCCAGGCCGCGCTGCTTCACAGAACTGAGCACAAGCGGGCACTGCCTCCCACCATTGCTCCTTACCTTCACACCATCTACCCCCAAGAAAGGCCTCGCCAAGGCCAGGACCGACACAGACACCAGCTACATGATGCCCCTGGCTTCATCTCCCAGCTCAGCTGCTCCCTGAGCGGCTGCCTGCAAGCCAGGGACCTGATTGGCTGTGATGGGACTGAAAGCAGGAAGCAGATCTCACTAGCACTGCCCTTCTGGATCAGCCCAGGAGCCCACTGAGCCTTGTTCCCATCTCTTGGCAGCTGCTCCAGGGAATGGCACCTTGCCTAGGTACACAAAGGAAGGACACCCCCGCCCCATCACCACCCCTTCCCCAGCTAAGCTCCTGTCCTGGTGCCAGCTGGGGACAGGGGAAGCTGCAGGGCTATTGAGCCCTCCTATGACATAACTTCTCCTCCTGCCTGCCCTCTGACCCTTATACTGTCCTTGCTAGATAGCTGCTCCTAATTCCCCGGCCATTAGCCATTCAGGCAGGAACCTCCTGGCTGGGTACTGCCCTCAGGCTGAACATGGAGAAAGAGTGGGTGAACATGCTGCGGCACTTTCAGATAAGGATCTGGCCCAGATCAACTGGTTTTTCTGGTTAGTTCCTGAGGAGCTCCAGGGTTTGGAGCAGACACCTGAAACTCATTAGAGGCATAGTCATGAGGTCAAGGAGGCAACTTTGGATGTCTTCAATCCCCCACTTCCGCTATAATAAGTCTCTGAATTGCATCCTTCAGCTTCCGCAGGTTTCACTCCTGCAGTCTCTGAACAGTCCCTCGCTCCCCAGCCAGGTCTAGTTGCCAGCACCATACCCAGCATGCTTCCTGGCCACACTGGGTCACAGCTGTCACACCCAGCAGTTTCCCCAGCCATGCTGGGCCAATGGCAGTTGCACTGAGCATGCTCTCCATAACCTACATTGGCTCCTGCCTAGGAAAAAACTGAACAGGGCTGGGATCCAAGAAAGCAGGAGCAAACCCTGTATGCCCTTCACAGCTCTTACTACAGTGCTTCCCAACCTTTTTTTCTCAGCATGACCTCATTTAAACATTGGAAATTTTTTGCCACCCCAAAATGATGCAGACAAAATCAATGCTCCCTCCGCCCCGTGGGCGGTATGGCTAGAGTGGAACCTGTGGCGGGGAGCGGGGGGAGGATACTGCCTCTCCCCTGCCCGCCTGCCCCCCAGGGGCCTTCATAGCCCAGCAGGTGGGAGAGCAGTAGGGCAGAGAACCCCAAGCCTGCAGCCCACATGTGCTCCTGCCCTGCGCACAGATCTGGGGGGGCATATGTCCCCCCCATGCCTCCCTCCCCAGGAGTACGCACAGCAGCAGGGAGCCAGCCCCCACACCACTTCCCCAAACAAACCACCTGTGGCTCCATCCTGCTGCCCCAGCCAGGCCCCGCATTCCCACCCGGGCCCTGGGCCCCATGCAGCAGCCTGGCTGGGCAGCACTCCTAGCCCCAGCCCTGCCCCACTCCCTCCCTCGCTATGGGGGCTTCAATCTGCCCTCCCCGCCTAATAAACTTACCTGGAGGAAGATGCTGGAGGGGGCTGCAGGAGGTGCTCTCCAGGCTGCCGGGCTGCCACATGCATGTGTGAGTACGTACATGCATGTGGTACCCCCTCCTCCTGCTCCCCCCAGCCCCAAGCAGCCCCTTGCTTTTTTCTGTAATTTTCATCATAATCAGTCCACACTTTCGAGTTTCTTTGTGACCCCATTTTTTATCATTGTGACCCCAAATGGGGTCGCAACCCCAAGGTTGGGAACCACTGCCTTAACAGGAGATAAGGCCTCACCGCACCCCCTTTCCTGATTCCCACTCATGCTACTGGTGAGAATGAAAAGGCCAGCATAGATCTTTGCTGTGCTGCCCCCCATGCCTTCCCCCATCCTGTCAGCAGAGGGCTCCACCCATTCCCCAGATCAAAAGGAAAAGCAGTGCTGTGTCAGGGATGGGTTGGCAGCATGGCTATTGGGCCTGGGATACCACAGGGGCAAGTGCATCCTGGACAGTTGCCTGCAGTGACAGGCTGCCTGCAGGGTAGAGCAAATAAACTGACTGCTGCTGCCCCTGCACGGTACTGCCCCTAGAGGCTAGGCTGGTGGGTGCAGAGCTGCCCTTTTGTAATCTTGGGCCTGGGTGAGCTGGTGTTATTTGGCTGCCGGTGGCCCTGGTAAAGCCCCCTTGGTTACTGTGTGCACGCATAGGCCACTGGGAACTCTCCCTTGCCATAGGTTGGCAATGCCAACACTGCACTCTTTGTGCCTGTGAAGAACTGTGTGGCTGGGGCAGAGGGTAGCATGACCCAGGGCATACCCAGCCCCAGAAGGTGGGTACAGCCTGCTTAGGTATGGAGTTTGTAGTGCACACCTGATCCACCTATCTCAGTATGTTACACTTCTGCCTTCTAGTGGCAGACTCCCAGATGATGACAACCTACTGCTGTCGCTGGCTAATTTCTGCTTTAGAGCCAGGATGTTTGCCACATGCTGATCTCCAATGATGAGCACCTGGAAATAACGTGCACAACCACCAGGGTGACCTGCATCATTGTGCAGCCTTCAGTCACAGGGTCTGGCCCTTATCACAATGCAGCCTCAATGCCCATGTAAACTACACTAGCTCTGCCCCAAGGGCTGGGCAGGAGGCAGGGACATAGCCCCACAGACACGCTCAGGCCTGATCTGGTGGGCTGATAGATCTGTTGGATATTTCTTTCCATCCTCACTGTTCCCCATAAACCCTTATCAGCAGCATGGTAGAAGCCACACTGCAAATAGGGAACTGAGAATGAAAGGCAGTATGAGCTATTTTGGGAGAGACGGGTGCAGGGCCAGAAAGGGAACTCAGGCAATGTGAAACAGTGAAAAAAGGAACTTGAGTCATGTGAAACTGCCAAGAACCAGGCTGAGTTGGCTGTGAGAGCAGCTCCCTGCCATGCTGCAGGCCAGCTAAGCTGCACAAGCCACGTGCCTCAGTAGGGTTGAAGCATACATCATGAGGCGCATGAGGCAAGCCTCTGGAGGGGCAGAGAGGGAAAGATAGGGGACAGCTATGCTGGTTCATATTTCAGGCCTTCCTCTGGAGTTGCTCCCCCAACATACAGTGTTGGCCCAAATGCAGCATTAGGGGGAATGTGATGCTGGGAGCAGGGCTTTCCCCCCCAGTGCCCCATAGCTAGGGGCACTGTCCCACTAGGAAGAGGTGGGCTCGGAGTGGGTACTGAGAGAAGCAGGTGCCCCAGCCCTCCCCAGTACTAGCACCAGCTCTGAGCATTGCTGATCAGCCTTTTGGCCCAAATCAAGTATAGTGTGCCTGTTCTTATCATACTTACCTGGCAGGGGAAACACCACATATCTGGATCCATGAGGGCAGTCTTCCTTAAGCATTCCTAGGGATAACTGTTCTTCTGGCATGGTTTAGTACTCGCTGAGGTGTTGGGGCTTAAAGTTCACTTTATGGAAATGGAAGACTCCTCCCTAGCTTGTGCCTGCAGCCATATGGCTGAGGGCAGGTGAAACTTGGGGGCATCCAAACCCCAAGCCTCTGGGCTTGGGCCTGTACATAGGTTGTCTGCCAAAAGAATTGGAAATATCTGAAGCCCCAGGTGGGGGTGGAGGATGTTTGCCGGTTGTCGGGCCACTTATGGTTCTGGACTGACTCATGGATTTGAACTTGATTTAGCTGGGAACACAAAAAAATTTCCTTAACTAACTAACTAGCTAACTAACTCCAGCACTGAGCAGCTGGTGCTGCAGTGACCAGCCCAGGATGCTTTACTTTCCCCTCTGGAAATTCTTCAGGACTAGGGAGCTGCAGGTGTTGGGTACAAGAGGATGGTGTTAAAGCCCCCAGGCTCATGTCCATGGCACCAATTTGGCAGGGTCAGAGCTTACCATACCTTGCAGGAAGAGACAGGGACACCTTTAAGCAGTTCTCTGGGCAAACTTATTTGGCTGGAAAACCCCTCAAAGTCTTTTCCCCAACCCCTGGGGCTGGCTCTGAAAGGAGGCTGCAGGACTGCTGAGGCCTGGCAAGCTTTGTGGCCAGAGAAGAAAGAAAGGGGTGCCAAAGACAGGGGGTGGATTGCACTCTGTCACTGCCTGCCCATGCACCTTGAGCAACTCACTTCATCCCCAGGGGCTTCAGCGAGACCCCATGGGGCACGGGCTCCCTCCAAACCCCCTCGACTTGCCTGGGGATGCAGTGAGCACCGGCTGGGGCTGCAGGGGGTGGGGGGACGACACACCTTTGCGTGTGCTGCTCCACTGCAGCTCCAGGCCCCAGAGGCGGGGGAGCAAGACAGCTTCCAGGTGAGAGTGGCCCCCACAAAGGACAGGGAGCGGGGTAGGGGGAGGAAGCCCGAGGGTCCAAAGAGGTGGCTTCAACCCACCTGCTGCCCCAGCGGCAGAC